AGGTCCTTTCCAACCTTGTGATTCTGTGACAAAAAAGGAACCTGCGGTCTTGTAATCCAGTGCATATAGTATTGCCACTGCTAGTATACATGGCTGAAGCTTGTAAGGCTTCTTCTGACCTTGTTTTGGACCTTCCTGGAGTACTGTTTTGAGCTTGTTTAGCCATAAAAGCAATTGTCTCACAACCAGGTGGCCACTGGCTAGCTGGTTTTACCTTTGCTGAGCTTTGCATAATTACGTGGCATAGCCATAACTGTAATGCACATAGTAACAATTCTCATACAGATAGTGTTATAGAGAATATTGCTGTGCACAAGATGCTTGTGGTCAGCTGAAGAAATGCAGACCTAGGTGCTGGGCAAAAATGGGTTTAGAGGTAACAAAGAGAATATATCCAATGCATGTTGAACATGCCCCCTAAGGTGATTTGGGATGTAACATGGAGTCACAGACCAGTGAAGAGAAAGAAACGTCCGGTGCATGTCTGAAACGTACGAAAATTAGCCCCAGATGGATCCTAGAGGTAACTGGGGGAAACTGTCACCATCCTAGTCTTCCCAGCAAAGGAGTTGAGTTGCCAACTTACCTGAACACCTCTCTTTTCTATGTTGTCCTCTTTTTCTCTTTTTTTCTGTACTAATGAAATCTGAACTAGTAACAGTAGTTGTTCAGGCTGTTAAGATTTCAATTACACTAGAAGTGTTGGGTTTATGTATGAGATGACTTCTTTTTGTCCGTTAGAAGATTTAGATATAGTGTAATACTAAAATTGTTTGTGGTTTGTTTTTTTTTTTTAAATCATGTATCATACATAGACCATAAGAGCAACAACATTTTAATCTTTTTGTGACTTCTTGTTGATTTTGATCTACCATGGAGCTGTTAGGTTCATACCTATGGTACTAATCTAATGGTAGCTTGGAATGCTTAGCACTTTTTTTTTAACCCAGGCACTTTTTCCGAGTGTTGTGGTTTAACCCCAGCCAGCAACTAAGCACCACACAGCTGCTTGCTTACTCTGCCCTGGTAGGATGAGGTAAAAGTAAGAAAACTCGTGGGTGGAGATAAAGACAGTTTAATAGGCAAAGCAAAAGCCACACCAGCAAAGCAAAACAGGGAGTTCGTTCACCACTTCCTTTCAGCAGGCAGGTGTTCAGCCATCTCCAGGAAAGCAGGGCTCCACCATGTGTAACGGTTACTTGGGAAGACAGACGCCATCACTCTGATTGTCCCCCCCTTCCTTCTTCTTTCCCCATCTTTATATGCTAAGCATGACACCATATGGTATGGAATATCCCTTTGGCCAGTTTGGGTCAGCTGTCCTGGCTGTGTCCCCTCCCAGCTTCCCATGCACCCCTCGCCTTCTTGCTGGCAGGCCAGCGCATGGGAAGCTGAGAAGTCCTTGACTGCTTAGCAACAACTGAAAACATCAGTATGTTATCAACACTACTCTCATCCCAAATCCAAAACATAACCTCATACTAGCTTCTATGAAGAAAATTAACTCTGTCCCAGCTGAAACCAGGACACTGAGCAAGTTGATCTAACATTGGGTATTTTACTTGCTTTTAACAGATTTTGTTAGGGTTACCATTGGCTGTAATATAAATCTTCATGATAGAGCAATTACATGTTCTGGATGTATACATTTAAGCCTTCTGAAACCTGAAATGGGCTCCTGTATGTTATGCTAACATTTATGCCAATTTGAATAATATAAATGAAGCAGTTGTAGTGTTTCACTGGAAAACCTGAAGGTGTTTGTAGGGGAAAGTTATTTGCAGATCTTAAGGGCAAAGCTGTTAAAGGGAGAATCAGTATCTAAGGTAGCCTGATACAAGGTCCAGGAAGTAAATGAAGTAAAACCAGCAGGCTGAGATGATTAGCGTTTGAAAAGCTCTGTGCTTGCTACACCAAAAAGCTCTAAGTTGTCGCCTCACTGTGTCAGGCTGATAATGTTGCAAATTAGATCCCCGCATCTTGGCCTGAGGCAAGAGCACTGCTGCTGTGGAAGTCTCTGTGATGGGTTTCTGCATGTTTCTTTCCCTTCCAGGTTCTCAGCTCCCTTGGATACCACGTGGTCACGTTTGATTATAGAGGTATGTGGGCTTTTAATATGAAAAACTTCTAGATGTCTCTTTCTGTACAAGCAACAAAGTAGTTGCTCTTTTTTTTTGGATCTTAGGGGAGCTGTTGTCTTAGAACATTTGCTGCCAGCTAATCAGATGTGTTTATTGCTTCTTTTTTTCCTCATGGGTATCCAGAGAACTTCCATAAATTTCTTTCCAGTGCCTTTCTGGGTAGCACTACTTCCTGATGTCCAGCTCAGTGGACTCTGGCTCCTGTCTGTCCTCATGCACAGGCCTTGTTGATTTGGGAGCTAAGGAACAGAGGTTGACCCAGGCACATACGCTGTCACAGCATACAGTTAAGGCATCCTCCAGGTGCGCATCTGGAAACTAGTAAGCCTGCCTAGATGTAGTCTTTTGGATATCATCTAATTGACTTTCCTGAGGTCACACAGGGAACTGAACCTGCACTTCTTTTTACAAGCCAATAGTTAAGTCATAGAGCAAATGATTTGCTAACAATTGGTAATGTCCTCGACAGAAGCGATGACCATTTTGCAACTCTGTGCCGCCAGCAGTCGGGCATCTGCTGCTCCTTTTTTTCCCCGTCTTGGTATTTAAGCCATAGCTGCAGTGTAATGCCACTAGAGAGGGATACAGGAAAGAAATTAATCTGTTGCATTTTTACCAAGGAGACATCTGGGAGAGTTTTATTTGTAGGAGCTTGTCCTGTTTTTCAGTCCTGCTGGCAGCTGCTTCACTGGCTGCTTATTAGGCATTGGAAAGGATGTGGGATGCTTGCTGCTTAGCATAAGATGTGTAGACATGCTGCAATAGTAATAGAGCCAAAACAATCAGGAACATGGAAAATTGCTTGAGGGCATTGATCGAACAGCATGGACAAACTGATGTTGCAACAGCTTTGTGAAACGTGCTTGTTTTTTTGACCCTAATTTTTTTGACCAATTCTTAGGCTGTTAGAGACTCCACTTACAAATTGGTTACATGAGTGCAAAAGCAGCTAAGGTTTCTGTTGACTAAATACACAGAAGCTCCTTGGCAGGCAGCAGTTACCTTGTTTAAATGTCTGTGGATGGATTGGGGCTTTCAGCCCCAAATTGAGGAGGTGCACAGTGAAATAAACAGAAACTGTCCATGTCCCAGGTCCCTTTGCACTGGCATATGGACTGCATGGGAAGAGCTGGCTGGCTGTGACCAGTTTGTACGCTTCTCAGAGGGACTGTTTGTGTTTCAGGCTGGGGTGATTCAATAGGCAGTCCGTCAGAGAGGGGAATGACCTACGACGCCCTTCACGTCTTCGACTGGATAAAAGCAAGAAGTGGAGACAACCCTGTCTATATATGGGGACACTCCTTGGGCACAGGGTATGCATCTAATTTCAATGGGACTTAGCAGCTTCTGAAAAATGTTAGACACTGACCTTGGATGAAGGTGCTGTTTGCTGTATTCCCCAGGCTGGCTTGGCTTGGAGTCTGTGGCATAATTGCTGCAGAGTGGCTTCCCCTTTGCACTCTACAGAGTGAGAAGGGCTACAGTGAATGACTGTGCAGGAGTTGATCTTGAACTTTCATTGCCCAGAGGCATACACTGGGAAAAAGACACTTTAATATAATGCAGATTGACCAAGGGGAGGGAAAGAGATCTCTCTCTCTTCCTGTGGTGAACCTATGTCTAAATGTCCTCCAGAGCAGAACATCAGGCTTCTCTGATACTCTGAAAGAGTATTGCAGACCAGCCACATGTTCATGTGACTTGCCCTTACAAAACGTTTTCTACTGTCCTGGCAAATATGCTGTGTGCAATCAGTACTCATGCAGATGCCTGTATGACTATACTGCTGGCCATCTGTGACATTTACGTGGTCATGCCTGGCACAGGGAACTTCAAAGTGTCAAGTGCCTTTGCATGTTTTTAACTTTCCTTTCTTGCTTCCTCCCTTTCCATTGTTGTCTGGAGGTGGGTCATGTTCAGCAAAATGTGCTCTTACCCTCTTGATTTGCAGAGGGAAAACATAAGAGTTAACTTTTGAGTTGAGCTGTGTGCACATTAAACTATTTGAGACCACAACAGCTTGCCTTGCTGCCCAACAAATGTGTTGCTGGGACAGGGAGGTATTTCAGGATAATGCCTCTTCATTGCTATGATACAAAATGTCCTGCTTTGTTTGAGAGAAGGCACAGGCTTTACCTTTGGCTCTTCCTCTAAATTTTTGCCATGTTCAGGATCCCTTTCTGGGTTAGAGCATGCTCGTGACATTTCCCAATGCATTGCAATCTGAGTGGCCTGGGACTGTGGTCCCCAGCTGAGTTCCCTGGTGACCATAGCCAGCTTGGAGTTTGAGGTTTTTTTGAAATAAGCTGTGCTTAGAGGATTCAGCAACTTTGGAAATATCCCTGTCCCATTAGGGAGACGCATGGGAGAGACCTTGCTGCTTTCTGACCCAGCACTGGAAACTCCTTGCAGTGTCACCCTGGGACCCTGTGCTTCAGCTGCCTGGAAAGCATACCCTTCTGCCCATACCCTTTCATTCCCCTCTTTCTTGGTCAGCCCTTGTGGTCTGGGTGTAAGAGGCTGTTACACATCTGCAGATACGCTGGGAGCCTGAGTGCCACTTTAAAGGAGGTCTTTCCAAGTGGCTACATGGTACACTGCTTCCTTGGACTTGTTCACTTACCTAAATGCAGGTGCCTGATGCCATTTGAGACAGTTGGGTATGGGAGACCTGTGGGAACCCAAGTCGTTGTGGGCTGGCTGCCCAGACCTCAAACAGTGGGAGGGGTCAACATTATGGCGGTTGAGTTGTACCTCTGCCACCTACTACCAGTAGAGCCTGGTGCTTTGACATGGCCTGTGCCAGATTAAATGCTCATTGTTCTTCTTTCCAGGGTCGCAACAAATCTAGTGAGGCGCCTTTGTGAGAGAGGTAAGTCTGGTGGGTGGATGCTCTTTCCACCTAGCTCAGGTCCTGCTGGCATCCCAGATTTCCGCATATGTTTGCGGTCGTGATAAGGCTGTCCTTGGTGCACCGTGGTGGCAGTTGCTTTCATAAGGCAGACCCTGACCTTGCTGGCTATCTGCACCACTGCATTTCAGCACATTGCCTTCGGCTTTTCAGAAACACCCCCGGATGCCCTGATACTGGAATCTCCGTTCACCAACATACGGGAGGAGGCACGAAGTCACCCTTTTTCTGTGGCAAGTACACAGTGATTCTCACACTAGTGGCATGTAATTGTATGCTTAAAAATTAAAATTAACCTTTATAAGTGATATAGGTGAGCTAACTGCATGACTTGTGCAGCAGCAGTGATAAGCGTCAGGGGTAGAGGCACTTAAGGCAGCTCCTGGGAACGCCAATACAATAAGCAGTACCAGAGCTGTGTGTGGAGCCTGCTTAAAGAAAACAAACTGGGGTCAGAAGGGCCAGTAAATACAGCAAGGGGAAGATAGACTCTGCTCTTAGCAGTGGACAGCCCATTCTTCTTGTGTTGTAGCTTCCCTGTTGTAGGAGGCTATTTTGTGGGCTGTGAGCAAAGCAATGGCAAAACTGGGCTTCTCTTGGTCACTACCCTGTCCATGTGACCCCTTTGCACTTGCCTGGTTTCCCTGCTGAGTTCACTCTGATGTGTCCATCGGAGTTGGCTGCGAGTTGGCTCTGAACTGAGCAGACACCCAGGATGGGTGTTGGATGTGACTGGGCTGGTGAGGTGCCCTGTGATAAAGCTCTCTTCTAGGAATACTGTTGCCAGCAGCATGATACCTAGAGACCTTGACCATACAAGCACCTGGAGAGCTTGGTCTTGAGCAGGCTGATAAGATGGGCCTGAAACAGGAGAGGAAAAATAACGCTAGTGGAAACATGGACCATCTTGCTGCAGAGAACGCAGCCAGCAGCCAAGGGATGTTACTGGGATGGCAGTGGCCTACCCTGTTAATGCTGCTTGTATAATTGTCCTGCTGGTGCCTGCCACTAACACAAATTTTCCCTCGCAGATATACAGATACTTCCCTGGGTTTGACTGGTTCTTCCTTGACCCCATCACGACAAGTGGAATTAAATTTGCAAATGATGAGAAGTGAGTTCCCTTTTTGCTGGGGTTTCAGCTGTGGCTGCAGTGAGCTGTGGCAAACATCAAGGAGGATAGATATCAGACTTCACTCTCTGCTCTTTTTTTTTTAGCAGAAGCATTACACTTGCTGAAGGGATTTCAGTTACTCTCACAGCTCTAAGTGCAACACAGTTTTGCACTGTGGATCTTGCTCTTTTTTAATTGTTCTTAAGGACAGGTGCAACACAGCACAGACTACTCAGAAATACGCGAATTTGGTCCACATGATTTCTGCTGTTCAAGTGTACATTACATGTTAAACAGTAGCATTGGGACATTGAAGGTTTGGGAAGATTTCTCTGCTGTGCATTTTCATAAGCCACCCTGCATGTAATAACATTGTCTGTTTTCACTGAGCCTTTCATTCAAGAGCCTGAGTATTTGTGAGTTTGGTTGCCAGTAGTGAAACCAAACCAAACCTTTGGGGGATGATGCTTTGCAGTGGGGCGAGCCACTTTTCTCTGGTCTTAAGTAGCAAATAGCTTTTCCAAGGGTATCTTTCACTAGTAAATTTTCTATAGATCAAATTAATGGTGCCCAGATAATCATGTTTTCAAGATCTGAACTGCAGTTAATGACCCACAGGACATGTTTGTCATTGCAGTTTCCTTGAAGATCTAAGTGTGTTGGTGTTAGAGTGTGATGGGATTGCTCTGAGCCTTTGTCATCTCTTTTACAGTGTGAAATACATTTCCTGCTCCCTGCTCATCCTTCATGCTGAGGATGACCCGGTGGTACCATTTCATCTAGGAAAGAAGGTATGCATATGGCTCTGCAAATTGATCTGGTGGGAGGAACTGGTGAGGACAGAATGACATCCCAGCCGGGAAAAAAGTCAGCGATAGGAAGGTGTATGTAGAAATGCATAGCCTGAAGGGACTACGGATTCTGTGGTGTTGGAGGTGGCAAATCAATAGTGAAATGGAGCTAGAGCTAGGAGAGCTGATCAAGCCAGGGCCCATAAACCACCCCTGAGAGGGGTGATGGTTTGGCAGGGGTGGCTGATCTGGAGTGACATGTGCCCCTCACCCCTGTGCCCTTGGACTCAGCTTTACAACATTGCTGCAACGTCACGGAGTTTCCGAGACTACAAGGTGCAGTTTGTTCCGTTCCACACAGACCTCGGCTATCGGCACAAGTACATCTACAGGAGTCCAGAGCTACCTCGAATACTGCGGTAACAGCCCAGCTAACTGGGGTCTCCTCTGGCTTTGGGTCTGGGTGGGGCTGATGCCTGGGGCTTTGGGGAACATGATGACATGCGCCCAGGAGCAAGAGAGATGTGTAACAGGCGCCTGTATTGGGCAGCTCTTCTGAAAACCCATTTGGTCTCCAGAGTGGGTGAGATACTGGGGCTGGCTTAGCACAAAGTCAGAGCTCTCCCTGCAAAGCAGGTTTTGGGAAGGGGAGCCACAGAAAGCTGGGAGCACTTCTCTCTGGCTTGTCTCTGCTCTGAGCTAGATGCTCTGGAGGAGTTGTTTGGAGAGCAGCTACTTCTGCTTGCCTCATCTGGTGGGAGCTACTGATCGGTGAGAGCAGAGCTGAGTGCTGTTCCCTGTAGCTGCAAGTGCTTGAGCCCTAGTATTTGCCGGGGAATGTGAAGACCTGCAGGCTGTAGCACATACCAGAGTGTAGGAGAGCTGAGTGTCACTGCTGTGTCATTTCCTTTCCTAGGGAATTCCTGGGAAAATCGGAACGTGAGCATCATCACTGAAGACTAGCTGCTTGGCAGCACCAAGATTTTTCCTTTCTTTCCTTCCCCTCTCTCTAATTAGCCTCCCCCCTCCTTGTGGGTCAGTCTGCCGTTCTTCCATCTCTGGCACTAGAGGAGGTCAGGGATTCCCACTCTGGTCCTGATGTGTACCCTTGGAAAATCCAGCTCCCGGCATCAGCATCTGTGATGGTAGAAGAAAGTCATTGTTGGTTTCTTTTCTGACATGGATGGAGGGGTGAAAATGGACAAGGAGCTGGTACCAAAACGTGAAAAATGAAAGCACAACAAAGCCTGGCCAATCCAGCATGGTACCGCCGAGGACAGACATTCATAGGACACGTGTCATGACCAAGGGTGTTTCTTTCACTTTTAAACACTGCTGCTGTTTTTGGATCACGTAGAGACTCATTTGTAGGCGAATGGCTTTTGCCGTGTCTCCACACCACAGATGTCTTGCTTGAGTTTGAGGTGTTCTGTTTCTAGGAAATACATGTTTTGCCTTCCCTTTTTGCTAAGTGGCTGTAATTACAAGTACACTGAAGATCCAGGTGGTAAGAGGTATTTTTATTTAGCTCTTCAGTCACAGTGTGTTGCAAGTGTTGGGCTAATTGCACACATTTGGAAATAAAATGAAAGATTTTTTTGTTCTTCCTTTTCAAACATCTATTCAGTCAAAAAGGTTAGTGCCCTTTTATCTTTCCTGTACCATTTTGCTCCCATCCCTGCTATACTTTGTGGGGCTCCTCCTCTTCTTCAAAGCACTTCCTGTTAAGACTGAAGTGACTTACGTGGATAAATGGCAAACTGGGAGTTTAAGCCAGAAAGCGTGAGATTACCGTTTTGCTTCATCGCCCCTTTCCATGAAAAACATGGGCCCAGGATGTGGGAATGAATGTCTTCCGTTCTCCCTGTGCACACTCAGACATGTGCTTCTGTTGGGTGGGGAGGGCAGGTTTTTTTCCTCATCTACCTTTTAACTCCTTAGGTCAGGTTTTCCTGTTTGTGGTGGCTACACTGTTCCTCTGTAGTTAAAAGCAGGCAGTGGTATGCAGTTCTTGATGTCTCCTTCATCTCTCCCTCTGCTTCCCTTCTGTGCTCTTGGCATCACAGAATCATTAAGGTTGGAAAAGACCTTGAAGATCAAATCCAACCATCAACCCAACACCACCATGCCCACTAAACCATATCCTGAAGTGCAACGTCTACATGTTTTTTGAATCCAGGAGGCAGAAGTGGAAATGAGCCTCACCATGGGGAGAGATTCTGGGGATGTCCTTGCCCTGCTTGGGGCTAGAACAGGGGCTGTTTTATGCCACTGAAAAGCTCTGCACTGAGATGGGAGAAGGTCATATGCTGACTGTGTGGTGTCTGGCTGGGGACCTGGCCCTTCCCTGTCAGTCTATGTAGACTGTACCAGGTGCTGTAGGTTTAGTCACTAGTGCTCAGAGGGAATTGTGCCCCCTGAAGGGTCTGTTCAGGGGTGTACAGTGTAGTGTAAACTGCTTAGCATGCATCCAGGTTTTATCTGCAGGCTCATACTAGTTGCAAAGCAGACAGTAGCTTGTTCTTGTACTGATTCTTCTGCCATAACATGGTTATCGCTAAGGTTTCTGACCCATGATAAGCTAACTGTGCCACTTAAATGATGTTTGATGCACTTGTATTTATTGCACTGACAAAAGAGAAACACTTACTTGGCTCTGGAGAGTGATGTGCACATTCCAGCTAATGCTGCTGCCGGCAGCTGGCTTGGGGCAAAGTGTAGCCTGAGCTGGAGACTGTCTGTCTGTCTTCCTCCTGTGTGACAGAGCTGAGGGTCGAGCACGTGAACCGCTGGTGTTGGTGATCCTAGCACCACCATTCCCATTAGTAGGCCAGTGATATGCTTGGAAGTTTAAACTGGAATGTTTTTCTGAAAGTGGTGTAGTTTTAATAAAGGCATTGACTGCTGATCACTTCAGCTTCATCTGTTTTACCTGGCAGTTTTTGGGACTCTTTCCCAAGTTGGGCAGGTCAGCCGAGTGTGTGGCAGGGCTGCAGTAGGGTTGTGCATGGGCAATGAACCTGCAGCTGGAAGTGGACAAGTCTGTGTGGCTCCTGCCAGCTCTGGGTGAGTGGCTTTCCTGGAGTCCAGTGGGTCTGTGCCTGTAGTCTGGCTGCAGCTGAGGCTCTGCTTCCTCCCTGAGGATGGGGGAAATGGGAGCTGCCTGTGGGATTTCTGGTACAGGAGCCCTGTGTGCCATTTGCAGGGCAAACCCAACACTGTAACCCCCACTGCAGTGCTAGGAGTGCAGGTAGATGCTTTTTGGCCTTAGCTAGCCTGGTGCAGCCTCTGGTACCAGCTCCCTCCTGTACACCCCATACACTGGCAAGACTGACCTTTCTGTCATGGGCATGTTGCCTCCATGATGGTGCGAGCACCCCAGTACCATGCCAGCTGCAGAGGACAACATCCCATGAAGCCACAGCTGGGGAAGGCCAGCATGGCTTCAGGTGTCATGGCCTGAACTTACTGGAATCTGAACCCACAGGCATGGAGTAATACAAGTCAGCCCAAAGTCAAACTAGCAGGTGTTCTGGTTGTTTTAATGAGTTGGTGTCACACAGGGGAGTACTGGTGCACTACACAGCACTACAGGTGTTACACTCTGATCCCAGCACTGGGAAAGGACACACAGAGCAGCATGACCCAGCTATGGAGGGAGGTAAGAGATGTGATAGATGTCCACCCCCTGGGTAGCAGACAGCTGTACCTGGAGAGCCAAGGGCCTGCTTGGGGCCTACGGGCCCAGCAGGGTCAGCCACCCAGCTGGCAGTGGCAGGTACAACCCTCTCTATGCAGACATATGGAGGCTAAAAATCCCTGGAGTGGTTTGGTTGCTAGGCTTTTAGTTAACAAAGAGGTGTTGGAGGAGGCTACGGCAAGCTCTGTGGCAAGGAAGTTGCTGATCCCAGGCCCTCTCCTTGTGGCACATAGCTTTTGACATTGGTGCATGCATTGGAGCCAGTTGCTTTAACCTTCTCTAGGTGTTACTGGGGAAGGGGGTTACTGGAGGGACAGAGAGTGGCCTCTCCCTCCCCTAGCTTTGGGGCTGGCAGACCCACTGGAGGAGGATGTGAGACATATTCTATGTTGACTAAACCTGCTCATGGGGCAGGGTCAAGGAGGCCAGGCCAGGCTGCATGCAAGGGGAGGGGAGGATTTAGTTGGAAAGCCCTTGTTAAACACGGAGCACAGCTGTGGAAGACTTATCAGTGGTCATCTCACTAAAAGCACTATGCAGCACATGCAGTCTGGATACATGGGTACAAACGCAGGATCCTTTGCCCTCTCCCCCAGCTCCTGTTCCTCAGTCAGGGCTCCTCAGCATATCCTTCCACCCCCCTGAGGGAAAGGCCTTGTTTCTGCAGAGCTGAGCCCATCCGACTGGTGGTGAAATGCAGGTGAGCCTCCTGGGCTGGGAACCCATCCCTCCTTCTTTCCCTCTGTGCCTGCATCAATCCCGCGGGAGGTTGGGTGGGGGGATTTTTGTGGCAGATGGCTCTACGCCCCATATCTCTCGGGCATACTCCATGATGGTCCTGTCACTGGAGAACTTGCCCGAGCATGCAATGTTCCTGATGACTTTCTTAGTCCACTCCCGGGGGTCCTGGGAAGAGGAGAGAGGCAATGTCAGCCGTCAGTCCCTTACCTGGCTCTGTCCCGGCTCGCAGCCTTGCAGCCATGCATCCCTGGCTGCTTTAAACACTGTGGTGTGGGGCTCCTGAAGCGGCGAAACCTGCCTCATGCCGAGAAGATGTGGTATCTGTAAGAAGGGCTCTATGCTCATCCCAGCTCCCCCCACTCTCCCCACTGCACTACCATGGCCAAGGACCCCATCCCTCCCCTTTGGTAGTGGGCAGTTCTTACCATGAACAGCTGGTCCACTTGGCCTTGGCATTTAATGTAGGCCTCGTAGTCAGCAAACACCTTAAACCTGAAACCCAAAGCACAGTAAGGCTGGGGCGTGCCTGCTGTAGGGTCCCAGGCTGACAGGACAAGGCAGCACAGATATCTTCCTGGGGGGAAGGCAGGGTTTAGCCCCTGCACAGGGGACACAGGCCAGCTGGGAAGGAGGCCTGGGCAGGCTGAGAGCAGCCCAGCAGAGGAGATGCTTGCCAGGACTCACCTGTCATGATACATGAGCATGTTGACAACATCCCTGAAGCAACCAGGGTCTTGAGGGGAGAAAAAACCACTGCTGATCTGGTCGATGGCCTGCCGCAGCTCTGGCAGGTGCTTGTAGTACTCTTGTGCGTTGTACCTGCACCAGCAGAGACAGGCTGTAGGGACTGATGCTGTCCCCTGGGGCCAGCATGTGGAGAGCAGGACCCAACATGTCTGGGACAGGGAGTGCAGTATGGCTCCTGAGTGAGGGGCCTTGTTCCTGGAGCTGTGTCCATTAGAGCACACTGCTAGTGGCTCCAGGATCAGTTGCAGTGCCTGAAACACTTTGTGCCCAGGCTCACGTCCCATTCACAGCCACTGTGCTCTGGTAGACCTGCCTGGGCTGCATCCTTGACTAACCAGCCCAGGGCAGCAGCTGCCTCCAGTCCCCCCCTTTTTCCTGCTCCAGAGCTGCCCAGGGAGGAGGGTGTCCCTCCCAGAGATCATGGCTGTCACTGCCAGAGCTGGGACCTGTATCCCCATCTGACAAGCCCTGGCATGCATTGGGCTCTCCCCAGCACCAACCCTTGGCGATCCAGGGCTTCCACGTCCTCCACCCGCATGCCAAAGATGAAGAGGTTTTCTTCGCCTGCCTCCTCAGCCATCTCCACATTGGCCCCATCCATGGTACCAATGGTGAGGGCCCCGTTCACCATGAACTTCATGTTGCCAGTACCCGAGGCCTCTGTGCCAGCTGTGGAGATCTGTTGGGAGAGATCTGCCGCCGGGATCACTGCCGGATGCAAGAGAGAGAGGAGTTAATCCTTGGTACACTGCAGCCCCCCATGACCTGGGCACAGGACAGCACAACAACCCTGGGCGTTTGCTAGTGGCCCTGCTGACCTCAACCTCAGCCCAAACAGCCTAGTTCTGGAGCCAGAGCCAGGCTTACCCCTGCCACACCACCATGCAGCTGCTGTCACTCCTGCATGAAGCTGGCTTCCTGCCCTGTGTGGAGCCCTCAGGCCCTTCCTAAGGGCCATGACAGCTTCTCAGGCAAGCCAGTTTCTGGGCTCAGCTGGGACATGCCCAGCTGCTGACGTGTGCTTATAGAAGACCAGACGTACCCTTCTCAGCCAAGGATACCCGGTAGTTCTCCAGGAAGATGACCTTGAGCCTGTCCCCAACATAGGGATCATTGTTGATGACCTCGCCAATGGACGTGATGAGTTTGATGATCATCTTGGCCATATGGTAGCCAGGAGCTGCCTGAAGAAAAGCAGCCCAGACATGGTGAAAGCTTTTAAGGAAGGGAGAGCATGAGGTGTGCCAGTGCTGGTCCTCACCACAGGGAGAATCTGGGCCTCACCTCTGCTGTTCACATCTATCAGCAAAAACACCCTACTGGTAGGAGAAGTCCTGAGCCACAGGGAAAGGGTGATGTGGCCTGGTTCAGTCATTAGTCCATGAGGGTGTGTCCTGAAGAGCCCACCAGCTGACACATGCTGGCTAACCTACAGCGGGCCCAGCAAAGCCACAGAAAGGGGACAGCACCTTCCCCCCATCCCCACTGAGCCATGCATGCAGTGAGTCTGGAGTGCACATTACCTTTCCTCCGATCATAATAGTCCTGGGCACAAAGGATTTGGATGGATCGCTTCTGATGCCTGAAACAGCAGAGCATAACACAACTGAAGATAAACTGGACAGAGTTTTTTGTGTGGATCAGAGGAGGTGGGCTGGGATCCCAGTCCATGACACGTAGACCCAGCAAGCTTCCAGGACCATGAAGCCCAAGCAGACATCTGCCAGAGCTGTGCTGGGTAAAAACGGCCTGCAGAGTCCTTGGAGAAATACTCAAGCCAGCACAATGCAGAGCTCAATTGTCTTGCCTTACCTTGGGAATGGGTAGGGACCCAAAGCATACAGTAGGGAGCAGGGTTTTAACTTGCACCATGTCAGTCCTAACACTTGCAGTACAGGTGTGAGGCTACCTGGGCCCCAGGTGGGCTGGAGATATGGGCTGTGAGCTTTTCATCACAGCTCCTGTATGACCCTTCAGACATGCTGTTTTCCCTCCTGGAGAGAAGCCCCTCATGACAAGAGGGCAGAGCTAGGCTGAGGAGTCCTCGGCCACCAGCTGGCATACTTTTACACAGGAACCCTGGCAGTGAGAGGCTGGGGGGGACACCCTTTGCCCAGGCAGGACTTACGGTTGTAGAGGGTGATAGCATGCAGGCAGTTCAGCAGTTGCCGCTTGTACTCATGGATTCGCTTGACCTGAACATCGAACATGGACGAAGGGTTGATTTTGACCTTGTACTGCTCTTCCAGGTAGGCTGCAAACTTCAGCTTGTTCTCCTGGCAAGAAAATCTGATGAGGAACAGGCATGGGTTCCTAGGCCTTGTGTCAGAAGTGAGTGTTCGCTGCTGCGATGTTCCTGGCAGCATGGTACCTTTAACCTTCTTTCCCCCCTCTCTACCTCCAGTGCATATTACCTGTTTGACTTTCGCCACATCCCTGATAAAAGTCTCATTATTGATGAAATCCAGTAGCTTCTTCAGCTGACTCAGATCTGTGATAAAACCTTCCCCAATTTTCTAAAAGAAAAAAACAAGAGAGGGACCACAACTGCGCTTCCCCAACAGAGATGCCTCGGACTTGGAAGAGGCACCCTGGCCAGGAAAAGGGGCACCATTTCCTATGGTGAGGTTACTTCTCTGTGACACCAGGGAGCCCAAAGGTACAGGGGAAATGGAGCACTTGCAAGAACCTGAACAAGTCCCCCTCTCTCAAGGAGCTTTAGAGGGAGGATGTGTGCACATGTAGCAGAGGTTCCTGGCAGCTGGAGAAACTGATGGGCAGGACAAGACGCATTTAATTGCAGGATGTTATTCAGCTATGGCATGTCGCTGTGTGAAGCAAACACCAGTGCTAAAGGGCCTGGTAAACAAAGGCGACACAACTGGGGCTGGAGCTCCAAGGGAGCTCCTTTTTGCCTGTGAAGCCAAATGCTTTTGCAGACATGTCATTTCACACACCACGGTACTGCCTGACAGGTTGTGTGTAGCCACTGTGAGGGCAAAGATCCAAATTTCTGCAACAATGTTGGCCAACTCTTTATCACTGACTTTAAAGCCCAGCTACTCTCACAGCTACATGTGCAAACCAGTGTGCTCCTCCCAGCCTGTCCTCACTCATGTAGGCTCAGGTCTCATCAGACCACACGAAGAGGTGATCAAGAAGCAAGGGGATCGTGCTCAGCCCCTCACTCGAGATGTTTGCAACTCACCTCAGCAATAACATCGGCCAGTCCCGGGTTGCACAGCAGGAGCCAGCGCCTCGGCGTGATCCCGTTTGTCTTGTTCTGAAACTTCTCTGGCTCCAACTCATAGAAATCCTTGAACCTGGAACACCGGGGAGCTCTGAACCACACACCACCATCCAGAGCTTCAGTTGGGCCCCTGCTGTATGTGCTCCTGAGTCAGAGCAGTCCCTGCAGATCTCCCTGTAACAGCCGTGGACTGCTGCCTCTCACCCCCTTCCTCGGCCATAATGCCGAGGGCTGTACCAGCTCCAAAGGGAGATGAGTTAGACCTTGCACACACGTGAAGGAGACAGTCTCCCCAGCCTGCCATACCTAGCAGCGCAACCAGCATAGACCTTGACACCTGACCACTCCATCTAGCCCCCCCAGGCTTGTAGGGCAAAGCCCAGTGAGTGGAGAGGGTGCCTGCCTTGGGTGCCCCCCAACTCACACTGAGTTCTTCACAATGTCAGAGTGGATGCGGGCCACACCGTTGACTGCATGGGAGCCAATCACACAGAGGTGTGCCATGTTAATACGTTTGCAGTCTCCCTCCTCGATCACTGACATCCTCCGGAGACGGTCAATGTCCCCTGGGTAGAGAGCTGCCACCCGCTGCAGGTAGGCAGAAAGAGGGACATTAGTGACCCAGCCACAGGGCCTAGGAACATTCCCATCCTAAAGGCAGCCAGATCAAGACCCCCAGAGTTCCCACTGCCTGTGACCAGCCCAGTCTCTTACATCCAGATGCATTTGGTTGAGGGCGTAAATGATCTCTAGGTGACGTGGCAGCAGCTTTTCAAACATGGAGACTGGCCAGCGCTCCAGGGCTTCAGGCAGCACAGTGTGGTTGGTGTATGCACAGGTCCGTTTTGTGATCTCCCAGGCCTGCATTACAGACAGCAGGTTAATGCACAAGTGCTCAGGCCAGGAGGGGAAAGGAAACCTCATGTGAGGACAGGACAGCAGCTCCTTCCCCTGTAAGGTTCAGCATGGACCTCCCAGCTCTGCTTACCTTGTCCCAATCCACTTTCTCCACATCCACCAGGATCCGCATGAGTTCTGGGATGGACAGGGCAGGGTGGGTGTCATTTAGCTGAATAGCCACCTGCAACACAGACTTGCTGGGCTCAGATCTGGCACTGACAGGACTGGGACAGTGTCCTGCATGCATGGGGTTGGGGTAAGGGTCAGCCCCAAGCCTCCTCTCATGGCACACATCCCAGAAACACACAGAGCTCCCAAGAATGGAACTATTCAACCTTTGCAAGTTTTTGCTCCAAATTGCAAATTTTTCCCTGGGAAAATAGGCCCAGAGATCACATGTTTTCCAACCCAAATTGCCAGGGTCTTACACATGCCCCCACCTGGTCCTGAGCATCCTGTTCTCCCTCATCCTATCTCCCTCAGATAGGTAGGTCTGGCTGAAACGCCCACGGACCCTCTCTGTCCACAAACTCACCTTGTCTGGGAAGGTTTCAAAGCATGTTCTCACAGGGTCTCGACAGCCAAATTTGGAGGACTTAAAGCGGCGGATGATGTCTTGGAGGGTAGCAGCCACCACAAAGTACTCCTGTTTCAGCCGCAGCTCCTTGCCTTCGAAGAACTGCAAGTGGGGGGACAACAGCCATCAGTGCTGCAGCTGCCATCCCAGTCAGCAGCCAAACCCCTGGAGATGCTCCTATCCACACTGAAGGGCTTACCAAGAGGCCTCACAAGTTCAGCACCTCATCAGGGCAGATGTGGATGTTTCTTATACTGTCTCTGAGGGGGCAGCAGCTGTAGGGACTGACAAGGGGCTCAGCATCCCAAACGGCTGCCTCCAGAGGGCAACAGAACCTGCCACATCCATGCTACTCCTACAGAGCAAGCGCAGCTCCATCCCTCACTGCAAGACCCTTTACAGGGTTTTTAGACCAAGAATTTTGGACTCCCTGCAAAAGCCAGGAGCCAGTGTCTCTGGACATACCAGCTGCCTCCCATGCACACTACACGTCACACTGGTCTATTTTAAAACACCAGCCGGAATGAGGGGACAGGGGTAAAGTGCAGCAGATGAGCTTTTCCAGCACAGATGCTAAACCATGACTAGATAGTGCAGGCTCTTCCCTTTTGGATCCAGTGCACAATGAGTGTATGGCCTAGGACAGTCCCTGCAGTGAGAAATCCCTTGAACTGGGGCTGGAAACGAGTCCCCCCCATGGCCACCTCTGAAATGACAACTTTCGTTTGCAAAGGGTAAGCCATGTAAATTGGCAATTGCCTTCAATTTGAAGAAGTAATATGTCTTTCCTGCCTTGCAGCAGGGATCACAGCAGCTATACAATATGGGCCAGACTCTCAGCTGCCATCAGTAAGCAGAGACCCTCTGGAGCCAGCAAAGCTGTGGCTGTTCACTGAGAATTATGGAGCGAGCCTATTATATTAAAAATCCTCAAACCAAAACAAAAAACATCAGGTGGCCATGACCTTCCAGTGCTTGCAAACAAGGCAATACATCTACAGGGAGGATGATCCCGAGCAGTAGGAAAGAGGCGAGAGAGTAACTCACGTTGTCATTTGGGTACAGGACTCTGGATATGTTTTCTGCCAGGTTTCTGTCCAACACCGCTTCGATGTAGTCACCCACATTGACTGCAGCAAGAGAGAAATACACATAGCACTGCAGCAGCTGTAGAGATTCAGGCAGGTCCCAGACACTGTGCTTTCTCATCTCATAGAGATGATTCCTTCTTCTCTCAGAGAGAGATTTGTAACAGGGACATTCAGGCTGGTATGAATGGAAATGTACACATGTGAAAGGCACCAGAGAGACAGGAGAAGATGGGATAAGAGAAAGGCACATCTCCATGCGGTTTCTCAAGACACACACATCAGGCAGGACAGACAGAAACTGAAGACAGACAGCAGCCAGAGAAGGCAAAAATGGAAGCAAGTGAACCAGCTATCTTGTGTAAGGACTAAGGAGAAATGGGGCAGGGCAAAGAAGCACAAAGACTGCAATCACACTCAATTCCTAAAGGGTACAAAAGGCTCATCCAAAACCCAGCTTGCAGCTGCCAATCAAGAATTGAGGAGACATGAGGACTCGAGGGCCATCACCCCTTGTCCCACACAAGTTCTCCTGGCAGGGCTGCTTGGATACACACAGCTCTGCGCTTGCCAGTGTGGAAGAATGAATCATATCAGTCTAGTCTAAAACCTTCCCCTTCTGTAATAGCCTAGCACTGACATTTGGTATGTTAGTTGCCCTGTATCTGCTCTTCAGTGGTACAACTACAGCCTGAAAAATGCACTAGAGAGATCACACCCAAAGGAAACCAACAGTAAGGTGGGCTATGCTGCTCTTTTCCTTCAGCACTAAGGGAGGATGCCACACAGAAATGACACTCCATGTCAAGTGTGGGTTTGCAGCTCATTTGGTGACGTGGGGAATGCAGTGGCAGGTGGTCTATCACTTGGGAAAGGGCAGGTTTTGAGAGCATGATAAGCGTGATGGGGATGGAAGGAGGACAGATGAGTGTCCTGCTGCATTAGGGCTCTGGAAGCACTTGGAGGTAGTGTGATCCATGGATGCTGTGTTTTGGAGGTAGCCAGGAGGCATGGATAAAGCAGGCCAGATGGGGAGTGCTATGCCAAGTGCTATGCACACAGAACAACCATGTCCCAGCCTGGCCAGAAGAGAGACAATGGGGAAATAGCACTTACACTCTTGGAGGTTGAAGTCATTGGGTGCTTTTGCAGACCACAGCCTCATGGTGTTCACAGTGTTGTTCTTGTATCCTGGCACTGGTGTGTCATAAGGCATAGCCAGGACAACCTGCAAAAGGACAGTATTCCCCTCTGATTAGCAGCATGGTGGCCTCAGAGAAGGTGGGAAAGTGGCTGAAACCCCTTCAGGAAGAATCCAGAGGACACAGACAACTCCTGCCTGTCATACGGACCTCACCTGCTGAGCTTCACAGACTTGTATTCCAGCACCCACTGGCAAAGCTTTAACAGAAGAAGCAGAGCTGTTTGGGGCTTTACTGACAAACTGGAGTTATAAGCCCATCAATGAAATGTAAAAGAGAGATGAAAGCAACCAACTGACTTTCCTATACCAACTGGCATAACTATTAGTTATTCACCAGCGCACTGCAAGCATCCTCAACTGGCCACTGCAATTCTGTCTGTGCTGGGGTAGGGCCAGGGCAGCTGGGACCTTTGTGTTTCCATCTGGGTTAAACTCCACAGCCTGAATCCTGCCCGTTAGCCTTCTGCAGCCTGCCAAGACCAAATCCTACCACCGCAGCACCATTCCCAGAGCAGTTCACCCAATGTTCAAGGTTTGTTGAACCTGCCTGGGTAAATCCACTGAGATCACCAGCACGTGAACTGAACATGAATGTGAAACTATTAATGCAGTCTACGAATGATGCTTAAGCATCAGGATGCTGCACACACCCGTTACACAGAGAGTAACACTGGTGCTCCCAGCTCAGATTACACTAGCCAGCCAAAGTACGGGTGTGCTCCAGCTCACTGCTGTGCCAATATCTGCAGGCCTCCAGACCTGCCGAGCAGCAACGCAAGGCACCCTGACCTTAGCCTGGAAAAAAGAGGCTGAGGGCTTATGCCAGCAAAGCTGAATGGTGCTTCCACAGCAAGGCCCTGATCCTGCAGCACAGAGCCTGGGCCACCTCTCTGACACCGGCAAATGGAGCCAGCATCCTGCT